CGTAACATGCTGGAGTTCCATATATGCAATACATTTGTTCAGTGCAGTCGTCATCTTCATTGCACACATGCCCATTGCTTGCTTGCCCTAATTAACACCAATTGACATTGTTGAATAAGTTATTGGGAAAACAAAAATACTAATTAGATTAATCATAAGTAATTAAAACGCAAATTACTAAATTTTGTGAAAGTACAAATTGCTAGATATGAAAATATTACTTATCATGCTGTTTTAGCATGTATGTGTGATATTTAATTGGAATCATTTTTTTTTTTAAAGTTCATCTCCAAAAAGAATAAAAACTTAACTATCTCTATTTCCTTCAAAAAAAAGAAAAAAGTTGAGGTATATAGTGCAAAAAGAAACCAAGAAGATCTTTGAATCTTAACAGTAACTTTTGAACTTTTTATGAACAGTAAAAAATGCGAATTACTATTTACTAAGTTGTTGAATATGAATAGAAACAAATGCGAAGAACTAATTAGTTGTTGATTATTTTTAAAAAAAAAATTTAAAGGCGATAATAAGAAATTTAATGAAAGAATTACAGCCCAACCGAAAATGGCCTACATTTAAAGTTCTTACCCTATTTAGCCCATGTTGTATATAACTTGAAAGAAACTTCTCGGCCTTTAGCCCACTATTAAAGACATACTTTTAGGGTTTTTATTATTTTCTTCTTTCTTCATTCCCTTCTCTCTTACCGCCTCTCACTTCTTTCTTTCTAACCCACATAGATCCCTCATCCTCTCTTAACCTAACCCCCGCTATTCCCCCCTCCTCTAACCCCCACGCAGTTCTGCCATTAATGGCTCGAAGAAGGCTCGGGCTCCTACTCCGTCGTCCATGGTGGCAAGCAGAAGAATATTGAAGATTTTTGAAAGAAACATGAAAATACACACAGATCTGAAAATAAATAGCTCTCAAACTTGATTTGCACCAAAAAATAACCACTAATGTTGGAAGATTTTGAAGTTTGAAGTTCTGGTCATTATTATTATGACCTTGAAGTCTCGAATCTGAAATTGGGTTTGGATAAAAATCATAACTATGTAGCAGTTTGTATCAACACTGTATGGGTGTGCGAACAAAGTACCACATTGGTAGGTGAAAAGATTGGGAGTCTACATATAAGGTGTAGGGATCTCTTAATGGTGTGAGGCCTTTTGGGAAAAATCGTGCGGGCTTGGCCCAAAGCGGACAATATCACACCATGTTAAGAGTGTCTTTGGGCTAGTTTAGCCCAACAACTAGTATCAGAGCCTAGGTTCAGTGGGACGAGTATGGAGATGGCGGAGTGATGGTGCGGGGCGGCACGCACACAAGAAGAAGCTAGTTGCGGGCTTCGGTTGCCATAATACTCTAACAATGTGGGTGACACACAGTAATCTCGAAAATTGACCCGTTGATCGTGGTAATGGGCCACGTGGAACTTAGTTCGAGGGGGAGATTGTTGGGCGTGCGAACAAAGTACCACATTGGTAGCTGAAAAGATTGGGAGTCTACATATAAGGTGTAGGGATCTCTTAATGGTGTGAGGCCTTTTGGGAAAAATCGTGCGGGCTTGGCCCAAAACGGAAAATATCACACCATGTTAAGAGTGTCTTTGGGCTAGTTTAGCCCAACATATTCTAGTGTATAATTGTGTATATGGATATACAAAAACCTCTTATACACTATTATACATGTTTATACAAGTTATACAGTATTGTATAATTGTGTATAATATTGTATAATTATATATTTTTTCAGTTTATAAGGATGTATATACATTGTTAGTGTGTAAGAGGCCTGTACAGAAGTTTGACACTTCCTTCTCTTCTTCTTTCTCGTGTAATGTGTTGTATGAGCGTTGGAGGGATTCTACAATTCATTTACCAAGTTTTTATTTTTCTTTTATCTTGTTGGATTGCTTCAGATAATACGTATTATTCAGGATTTTTGAGTTGCGTTGTGGCTGATTTGCATTTTTTTTTATCAAATGCTTAATAATCAAAGAAAATCAAGAGAATGAAAACAACTGGTTGTATACAGAGGGAGCAAAATAAGCTGTCTTTCGGGAATTAGCCTATTATTTTTGGGGTATAGATTTGCAAAGTGGTATCTAGGCTATTATGTTGCAAGTCAGGTATGTGAGTTGTATTTATGTGAAATTATCCCAAATTTAATTGGGTAAATGGTCTGCTACCTTACTGAATTTGAAAATTTTAACATTACTCTTGAAATTATACCAACAACAAACTTAGTATAATCTTATAAATGGGATCTGAAAAGGATGGTAAATACTGAATACACAAACTTTACCCCTATTGTTGGATATGTGGCCTATAAAAATGAATATAGACAAAACGAAGCGAGTATTTATTTACCTAACGAAATAAGCAAAAAGGACACCCAGAAAACCTTTAGGAATGTTGCCTTCTCCATTCTCTTCCAATATTGTGATAACACTAGAATTAATTTATGACTTCTGTTACTATTGGTATTTCTTGCAATTTAACTGTTGTTTTTACCAATGTATTTATAGGGAAGCAAAAGACTTGCTATGAACTTTTAGTTGATAGAAATATAGTAATCAAGATTACTTATAATCTATTTGGAAAAGTTAGTAATTTAATTTGCCTAATTTTGTGTTTGGGAAGTAATCTAATTTCAAGTTCATTTTTTGACAAGGTAATGAGAACCCCTTTTATTATTAAAGTAAGTATGCAATCAGAAACCCCTTACAGTAAATATTAAGTTAGATCAAAATTCGACACGATTAATATTTTTAATATTATCCGCACATTGTACAGTTTCTATACTAGTTCGTATTAATGAAGAACAATGTTGAACCAACTAAATTATAAAGGGGACATCTCAATAGGGTAGGTTATTGATTTTTCTAATGGACATTAACATTCGATAGTAAAATTGTGAATTCCTAATAATAAATTTGAGAAATTAGTATCTGTTTTCGAAATAGATAATGAAGTCTTTAATTTATTTTAACAAATCAGAGATACATATTTGGTTTTTTTTTAGCCCAAAGATACAGATTTCTGTATTACTCATATAATCTCCATATAGTTATACTTTTCAAGTATTTGGTTAAACTAAATTTTGTATAACTTATGTAGAGTTTAATACAAAATAATAAGCGTGTTTAGTAATACTGCATCACTTATATTGAAATCAATATACGTATATTTATGTATGATAGAATGCGAAATAAAAATATTTATTAATATCTAGATAAGACTATTTATAGACACCCTTAGAATAGGCAATCCTTGTATAATACGCATGTATTATTAATTATTGCATAAGTAGACCGCGAACTAAATCACCCCTTCTTTCATTTTATCCCGAAATTATTATTCTTATCTTATGCACCAACCGACCCTAAGGGGTTATTTGGTATGTGGGATAGGTTAAATAATTCCTGGATTAGATGCCATTATTTTATTCCGTGTTGGGTAGAAATTTTAAATTAGGGACTAGTAATCTCAGGATTAATTAATCCCGCAATGTAATTATTCTATCACACATTGAGGGTGGAATAACAATCTGTTATTATCCTGTATTTGTAAAATAATTCTGGATAATATAAAATAACGTATAAACAGAAATGAAAAATAGAAACGAAATTTAATCCGAGCCCACTGAATTCACAGTGTTTCCTTAAGGAATTTAATCCCTTCCTAGTACCCAAGGTTGTGGATTATTTCCTCCCATGATAGAACGAATTACACACTGGTGTAGCGGTACTTCAAACCCCAGTGTTTCAGCGAACACAAAGATCAGTAGCAAATCACACTTACTGCTGCTTTCTTGGAAGTTAAAACAATGCAGAAGAAAAGAGGAGAACTCAGATATTCGTATGGAAAATTTGAGAGAATGGACTGCTATTTATAGCCAATGTTGAGCTCAAATTGAAGAGGTGCAACTCTTCAGAAGGGATGTTTACGTAAAACGGCCATAACATAAATGTCACAACATAAATGGCTATTTACGCAACAATAAACCGGGAATTAATAACGAGGAGGAAACTTAATTTTCCGTTACAAAAACGGAAAACGGATAACGAATAACCGTTGGATTTAATATTAATATTCTGTTGGATTTAATATTAATTTTCCGTTTACAAAAAATGGATATTTAATATTATAATATGTTAATATTTACTATTAACAAATGAATTTGGTCCAAAAAATTAATCAATCAATCATTTGACCAAGTCCGAATCCAAAGCCGAGCAGAGCAACGACGGCGACGGCGCGAGGCTTGCCTTCTTCTTAACTCTTTAAGAGTTACAAGAAGAGCAATTGTATATATTCCCATCAAATACCTTTTCCTCTTCCAATATGGGACAATGCCCCATTGTCAAGGAAGGAATCTCAAATGAAACTCAAATATTTTATTTATCCTCCATTTCCTATTCACTCTCTTTTAAGCTACATTAAGCTTAAAAAACCAACACAATCTCCGGATTAGTTAATTCCGGGATAAACACTAAAATGACAACGATGCCGTTCTCCAAGGCTCTTCCCCCAAGATGTTTTATACAAGCCAAGGTTAAAACTGCAAATAAAAATTTATCTCAACTTATCTGGTATGCACCAAACACATGTTTATTTTATACCCAGTATATTCCATTTTTAGGCTAATGAACCAAATATTTACCAATAAAAATATATTTATTAAAAAGTTCCGTCATTATTTAATCTCTGTATTATAATCCCGAGATAACGGGTTGCTCTACCGAACAAGTGGGACCCATTAGTCCAAATGTCCAGCTTTGAAGAGTCTCACACAAATCTGATATGGCATGTGAGACTCAAAGTAAAATTTCTCTATAAGCGAAGTTAAAATGTGGAATATATATATATATATATATATATATATATATATATATATATATATATATATATATATAAAAGAAGGTAAACAATAAGAACATAAGAGCCAAAAAAATATAAGCCACCATAAAATATAGCCTTATCCACGCATGGCCTTTACCATTCAAAATATGGATAAACTACAAAACATAGAGATGCCAGCAGAATAAACAATAAGCAGGAAACAAAAATATTGGCTCAGTAAATATGGCGGATTCAGTAACAATTTCACTACTCTCCACTGTTCCAGTTCCAAATCCAGTACTGTCAACAAAATCTGGAGAATCTCAACTCAAATATAATGTTCTTTTTCGAGGAAACCCATGTTCTATTTCTTTGATAATTGGTACAAAATGTAGTGTAATGAGGTCATCAACAAGATTGTATGCAGGGTTGACGGAAATAGAACCAGACATTAATGAAGATCCTGTTGATAGATGGAGAACTAATGGCATTGAAATTGTAATGTTTCTCTATTCCTCTTTGATTTATCTATTTATAGTTACAAGGCAGCCCGATGCACAAAGTATCATGCATTTACGTGAAGGGCCGCACCCCATGTAGAAAGCGTATCATAACTCAAGCATGCTTTCACAACTCGAACCTATGAAATGTTCATAATTGTTCTATGAATTTGCATATAGGCATGTCATAAAGAATTGGTATTTTCGATTGTTGCAGGAAGATTTTGTGTTTGGAAAGTACGATGATCATCACACCTATTTTGAGAGTGAAGATAAAGGTACATAATCCCATTTATATGACACTATTATTATTTTGAGGACCATCAAAGGATGTGGTGCAGTGGATGAGACTGCTCTTTCCTTAACCAGATGTCTCGGGTTCAAGCCCTTGAAAAATCCTTAGTAGGGAGCGCTTTCCCCCGAATGGGGCTCTACGCAGCGCGAGTCAGGATATAGTCGGGCTCCAATGCGGGTACTTGAACACCGGGTGGGAAACTAAAAAAAGTTATTATTCTGAGGAATTAAACAATTTTTTACTACAATATTTGAATGATTAACTTTGTTGGCTTATAGTACTTTCCGTATAATTTGTAAATATGTAAAATTCTATTTCAGAAAACTTGAAAAATTCATGTCCAAACTAGTAGTTAGGGGAGAAGCAAGATGATTATATACGTAAGGATTCGGCCGAAACTAGTAACTTTAGTCTAATTCTGGATTTGTATTAAAAAATCTACTAAATATATGTGCAGAAATTAAATTCAGAACCAGTACTAACGCCTAATGTCATTATCTTAGAGTTTAGATCCCATAAAGTTCAAATCTTGGCTCAGTCGCTTCTAGTAGTTAACTTGATCCCAACTTTTAGAAAGTATCATTTTAAAGTTCAGACTTCCAGATTATGTAACTTACTATAGCTGTTAAGCCTAACAAAATTTGGTCAGTTAAATTATCACATACTTAGAAATGTAGGAAATACTTCATTTTTGTTAAGTTCTCTATAGCTTTAGTGTAACAAAAGACTTTGATCTTTATGTTCAATATGATCTCAGCTATCTGATAACTTAGTCCTATCATCTGTGGAACCAATTCATGTTTGAACTTGCATTGCAGCTACATTTTGGGAATCCATAAAAGAAGATTATGCTGCTGTTGCACCACCAACAGGATTTCAAGGTATATAACACACTACCAACCATATGATCGTTAACAATCCGTTTATTTAGTCATGCATTTCGCATAATAGTTTGTGCTTCTTTTCATCTTTACTTGTGTCGGGTGTCTATTGGATACAGTTTCTCTACCTTCTCGAGGTAGGGGTAAGGCTGCATACACCCTACCCTTCCCAGTTTGTTGCTGTTGTTATTGTCGCATTTCACATAATAAAGTTCACCTTGTTTTCTGGTGTTTCCACTATAGGTATTATTTCATGGCTATTCCTACCAGCAATTGCTGCTGGAATGTACTTCAATGTTCCAGTAAGTCGACGAAATTTGACACTCGAAAACAGCCTTTTCTAGCAAACTAAAGTCTGGTGTTTTCACCTTTTGACATGCAGGGGGAGTACTTATATATCGGAGCAGCAGTGTTTACAATTGTGTTTTGCATTATTGAGATGGACAAACCAAGTGAAGCTCACAATTTTGAGCCTCAGATATATAACATGGAACGAGGAGCTCGAGACAAGTTGATATCGGATTATAACACAATGGATATTTGGGAATTCAATGAGAAATATGGCGATATCTGGGATTTCACTGTTAAGATTCAGAAGGACGATATCATGAAAAGATAAAAGTAAAATGAAACAAATAGTGTTTTGATTCATCGACCTAATTGTATAATCAAGGTATATATGATTTCGCTCATACCCTGTGTTTTTGCCTAAAAAATTATTAAATATATACAAATAATAAATTTTGAATCCATTAAATTAGATAAGATGTGGCAGAATTGTGAATCTGAATCCATAAAGTTGAAATCCTCTGTGACTTTATCAGTTATTTCTCATGTTCTCTTGATGTTTAATGACCTTTTTTTTCCCTAGAAAAGAACTAGGAGAAGACGAAATTGGTCAATGGTCGTCTTCTATTTCTCTTAAATATATAGAGATGCAAAAACACTAAACTTTGCATGGCTCGGAGAGTTCTAAAGATGAGAAGTGCAGAGGATGTTTATGAAGGAAATTGAGAGTTGACAAGTTCAGGTAGAAGAAAACTTACTTAATATTGCATTATAGCAATTAAGATGATTGGAGTGAATGAGACTTGTGAAGTAAGATCTCTTTTCTTTAGGTGTCAGGTTATTTTGGTTTTATTATCTATTTTTTTATGAATATACTAATTGTGGTTTAAAGGATCATATTTTATTTATGATCCTTTAAACCACAATTAGTACATTCATAAAAAAAATAGATAATAAAACCAAAATAACCTGACACCTAAAGGATCTTATAATGGTGTACTGCCTTGTATTTCCATACGTAAAAACGTAAAATTTGTTTGAGATCTTCAGTCGGGATTTCTTGGAATATACAAGTGATTCTTCCCTACTGGATTCTGCAAGCTGTTTATATGTTACAGCATAAACTTTAACGACTAATATTACTACTTCCACCACTAGAAAGTGGAGAATGATGGAGGATTATACTAGGGGCAGAAGTGGATGTAGCTAGTTGTGAAATAGGTGCAAATACACCTACTGGCTAGTGCGGATCGAATTATGAATCCATAGTTAAAAAAGCGCCGTCCGATGTATAAAGTATTCCATATTCAAGCACTACAAGAAATCCGGTAAATACCGACCAAAATTTTCCGACCAACGTTGGTCGGTAAGTTGGTCAACAAGTTGACCGACCTGGTCAGACTTACTTAGTCAAAGAAACTTTCACATTACCGACCAACTTTGGTCGGTAATGTGGACCAAATTTTTAAAATTTTAATTGTTATATTATTATTTAAAATGTTTTATAAAATTTAAAGAAATTTTATTTAAAATTACCGACCAAAGTTGGTCGTTAATTCAGGGGAAGCATTTACCGATCAACAATGGTCAAAATTATGAATTACTTTTATATTTACTATCTAAATAATATAAATGTAATCCGTTAACACTTTTGTAATACAAATAATGAATACACTAACATATACTATAACATGCTATATATGTAGTTAAAGTAGCACAACGAAGTGTGTGTGTTATATATATATACACACTAACATATACTATAACAAGCTATATATATAGTCAAAGTAGATATGGAGGTAAGGAAGTTGAGCCATTTGAAAAGTCATGACTGTCATGTTTTCATGGAGACCTTAGTGCCTATTGCATTTTGTGCTTTGCTTGAAAGAATCTGGAAACCCAACACAGAGATTAGTTTGTTTTTCAAAGACTTGTGTTCTACCACATTAAGGGAAGAAAATCTGCTCCGGATGGACCAGAACATTCGTGTAACTTCTAGTAAGATGGAAAAAATATTTCCATGTGGTTTTTTTGATGTGATGGAACACCTTCCAATCCACCTTATACACGAGGCACGACTTGGAGGGCATGTTCAATGCAGATGGATGTATCCCTTTGAGAGGTAATATTATAAATTTGATGTAATTTTCTATTTTATTTGAATGCTCTTGGCTAACATGACATTATGTAGGACAATTGGCAAATGCAAATAATTTGCTAAGCAGAGGAATAGGATTGAAGGATCTATATATGAAGCTTGTCTTGCAAAGGAAACTGCTCATTTTTGTTCTTATTATTTTGTGAGTAACGTGCCATGTTTTAGGAATAGGCCCAACAGACACACGGTCGAATGTGTGAATGATCAATTATATCCACCAATGTCCATATTCAATCAACCAGGCCGATATTCTAAGGATGTTAGAAAGAGAAGTTTGAGTGATATGGAGTACAAGTCAGCTACACTTTATGTGTTGCTAAATTGTCCAGAAGTAGTACCATTTCTCAAGTAAGTATTGATTTATTAGTTATCAAAATATAAAATTTACTGTGATTACATCTTGATGCAACTACTAAAAATATTTGATATGTCACAGTCACTTCGTGGGTCAATTTGGCCATGATGTTGTATATACGAGATTTGATACGCGGTTCAAATAATTTGTAAGTTTATCCTGATAATGTTCTAACATTATGTAGGTAAATAATGTTTGTACGTTATGCTAACTTATGAATTTTTTTAACACTGTGTAGTAATGCTGTATGGTGGGCCGGGCTGGGACCGGGCCCGCGGTCTTAACGGGCTAAACGGTCCTGGTGGGCCGGTCCCCAATGGTGCAGGAGGCCCGTGGCGGGCCGGTTCACTTCTATAAGCCCACGAGCCCGGGACCGGCAGGCGGGCCTGAGCCGGTTCAACCGGGCCTAACGGGCTCCAACGGCTATTTTTAAAATCTAACCGTTGGCCTTCATAATTTATCCGTTGGCCACTTTAAAAAATAGCCATTTGGCCCCCAAACTTTATTTTAACCCCAAACTTTATATAATTACACTTTTTCCCAATTCTCAACTATAAATACCCCCTCATTCTTTCATTTTTACTCACCAATTCATCAATCTCTCTCAATCTCTCTCAATCTATATCTAATTTCTCTTCTATAATTGCTTATTTTATTATTGCAATTTCGTGAAAAATTGTGAAGTTGGGGAATTGAAGTATTCAAGTCTTCAAGTCTTCAACGATTTTTAATTTTCAAGAAGTTGTTCGGCAATTCGGTAAACTCGTTCCAACTCTTAAGTTTTAAGAATATATTTTTGTGTGTTTTAGTTTGCATAATTGTAATTAATATGGCATTTTCTTTGAAAAAAATGTTTGGTGGTAAGGGAAAAGCTAAAATTGGTGAAAGTAGTCGCCAACCTACTACCCTTCCCCCGGCTCCCCGACCCAGACCTGTTACCCGTCCTGCTGCTCCTATTATTCTTGATAGTGATAACACTTGTTTTCAATTTTTCGATAGTGAATTTTGCCATAATGTTGCACCAGGTCAAAGATTAAATGAAGAAGTTATGAATGCTCTTTATCCTAATGAAACTATCTTAGAAAATGATGAGGAAAATGAGGATGTAGATGAAACCCAACCGGATTTAGATGATACACTGATAATAGGTGAATTTGACTATAATCACACCTTAAATAATCGCCTTCTTGTGTAGTTTTAATGCTAAAAGTGATGACAAAATGCTCTTATTAGTGCTTTTCATGATTTGTAGGTGATATATGTATAAGGAAGGCTAAGGAGCAGTTTTGGAGCTAAAAGTGATGAAAAAGAGGCCAACTGTGAAATTTCCCAAGTGAACCAGGCAAAACAGGCCGAAGAATTCAGAGTACTGGATCCACCGCGGTTCCACCGCGACCGCGGCAGAACCGCGGTGGGAAGCAGCTGCAGAAGATGTGAGAATCCGCGAGGGTGTTTGGCCGCGGTTCTACCGCGACCGCGGCAGGCGCAGAAACTTCGGGGACCAAAGTGTCAATTACGGGATTTTTAGACCTAAACCCTATTTAAAACATTAGACTTCGCCCAAGAGAGGCATGTATTGATTTTTTAGGTTTCTTAGCAAGGAAAACCATTGTGAGAAAATATTCTAAACATCTTTCTTCTTTTCTTTTGATTTTATGATGAATTCAATCTTAGTTTGTTTTCCCATGGCCATGAGTAGCTAAATTCCTTGTCTAAGGCTTTGATGGAACCTATTGGGTGATGAACTTCTTGTTTATGTGAATACAAATTGCTAGTTTAATCTCTATTTGTTCAACTTCATGTTCGTTGTAGTTATTTGACAGGATCCTCAATTAGTTGTGCCTATTTAGTGTGCATAACTTGGAAAAGAGTGCATATTTAGGGTATTGTTGAACAACACCACTCCTAGATTATTAGAGGAATCTATGATTGCGGGTTTAAAGGCGGAATTAGGGATAACGAAGCCTTGGGTGTAATCTAAAGTGAATTGTGCTAAATAAAGTAAGCTAGTGTATCTCGGGAGAGTGCAATAGTAGATTACTGTGATTACTCGGGAGAGATTTGCAGTAAGATTAGCGTTTATGATTGATAGAGATGTGTGGGTAAATTTGTATGAGCATAAACAGAAGGGATTCCATCAATAGGGGAAATCATTGCCTTAGCTTTTTCTCATAATTGTTTACAACCTTATTAATTTAGTTACAGCCATTTAGTCACGAGCAAGATAGTTGTTAAAGAACACTCAACTGAGATTTGAATATTTGGGAAGCTGGTTCTGAAGAATTAGTGGGTCTGAAGATAGTGGTTGATAGGTTAACTCTCTGAGGATTCGACCCTGGGCGTAATACTCGGGTTATATTTGCAACGTCCGCAGAGTCCTTTTTATAAGGCATAGTTGGGCGTGATCAAATTTTGGCGCCGTTGCCGGGGAGTTAACGGAATTATCAATTGCCATTGACAGAAATACAAAGATTCTTATTGTAGTCAGTTTTCTCTCTACCAACTTTTTCATTGAAAATTTGACGGTTGTTGATCTGGGTACACAGGTGCATGCCTAGAAATTCTACGAGGACTGGAGAACTACTTGAAGGACTCTCAGACCCCAAGAAGACATTCCGGGCATTGAATCGTGCAAACAAAAGACTTCAACAATCCCAACAAACACACCAACTCGAAATTGACATGGGCGACATAAACGACCCCAACGGAAACGTCAGGAATGAGCAATTGGCACCTCCTGTGCCTGAGGGTGCACTATATGACTGGGCACAACCCACAGCTGACAATTTGGCCACTGCCATTATTGTGCCTGCAATACAAGCTGAATCGTTCCAGATCACAAATAACATGCTACACTTGTTGCAGAACAAGGGACTCTTCTCTGGGACACA